GTTAAATTCCTAACTGTTCAACCATTAAAATGAATTAACTAGAACTACATTTATTAATATAGCTAAAACTCTGAAACATGACATTGAGGGAAAAGAGTTGCAGAAGGTGTAATACTTTTTTTTTTTTTAATAGAATGGAGAAACTTGGAGAAAATATCATATACCATCAATACTGGATATATACCTAAGTAGTAAAAGTGTAAAAAACATGCAAGAGAATGACAAACACCAAATTCAGTTGAGTAGTTGCCTCTTACAGGGGGTGGGGAGTACACAAGGAGGGGGTTTCAGTTCTACCAGTAGTTTTATTTCTTAAAAAAAAAAGCGGGGGCACACAAAATGATATGTTAATATTTGACAAAGGTGAACAGTAATAACATGAATGTTTTGTTTCTTTACTTTTTTGACGCTTCCCTGCGCTCCTTTTAGGACTGGGCTTATTGCTTTAATAGGGGAAGCTTTTATACTCTGGCTCACTCAAATGTTCAGAATTTTTTTTTTTTTCTTTTTGTCTTTTTTCGTGACCGGCAACGGATCGCAACCCTCAGTGTCGCGCCCGTACCGGACCGGGACCAGCAACAGGATCGCAACCCTCGGTGTTGCACCTGCACCTCGCTCAGCCAGTGAGCGGCCGGTCTGTATGTGGGATCCGAACCCTCGGCGGGAGCGTCGCCGCACTCTCAAGCGGTGCACTGTAGCAGTGCGCCACCGGGCCGGCCCAAATGTTCAGAATTTTTGTTTTGGGATACTCAGTTTTCCTCAGAGAGCTACCTTTTTTTTTTTTTTTTTTTTTTTTTTTTTTGTCTTTTTGTGAGATCAGCCACATCGCGCTCAGCCAGTGAGCGCAGCGGCCATCCCTATATAGGATCTGAACCTGTGGCGGGAGTGCTGCTGCGCTCCCAGCACTGCACTCTCCCCAGAGAGCTACCTTTTAAATCAAGTGAAGAAGTAGCAGGAAACTTTCAGTTACAAATAACAGAGTACTTAGGCTGGCTGGTTAGCTCAGTTGGTTAGAGCATAGCCTTATAAGGTCACAGGTTCGGATCCCTGTACTGGCCAGCTGCCAAAAACAAAAATAAAAAATGTAACAGAATACCTGACTAAAAGTAGCTTCAACATCACCTGTTAATTTTTTGAACATTAGAAGTCAAGAGATTAGCCATTATCAGGTTTCTTCAGCAGCTCTTTAGCATCAGGGCTTTAGGTCAGCTTCTCACTGATTCTTTTCAACTTCCCTTATGATCACAAGATGACTGTAGGAGCTCCAAGTTTCACATCCCTACTTGACAAGCAAGGAAGTGTGGGGGGTTCTTTTTGTGTGGTCTTTTTATCATGGTGGGAAATCTTTTGGAGAAGTCCCCAAGAGACATCTTCTCAGGAGCCATTGACCCAGAACTGGGTCACACGCAGTATCTCAGAACCAGTCACTGCAGAGGGGAGCAGAATTCCTTGCTTAGGCATGCCTTCTCCAAGGATGCTGCAGCCCCTGCCTGGACAGAATCTGGTGTTCCTGGTAGCAGTCCTGGGCTAGGTAGCCATCACTGTCTGCCAAAATGTCCACCATCGAGTGAAAACTTGTTTCAGAAGATGATGGTTTACTTTGTGCCCATCCAAACCAAACAAAGCCAGGGGTTCCTTGTGGTTAGAGATCATTTTAGGGGCAAACTCAAAGGCCCATTGCTCATAATAGTGCCTTTGTGGATCTCCCATACACACATGGGGAGACTGCTAGAGGGAAAGAAGGGATCACTGAGGTCCCCCTGGTCAGCCCAGCTCTTTTCCAGATAAATGTTTCAATCCCAGTAAAACACCTCAGAGAAAAAAGAGACACTCGTGTTTTTTATATTCTTTTCTTTTTAAAAAGTAGGCAATTATTCAGATTACTTTGTTAACTAAACATAAAGTACTCGAATTAGTGTTGTATATTTTGAAGTTCAAGGAAGCACTCGCCATTTGGTTGAATAATAAAGGGCAATAATATTTTATTTAGAATTCTCACTGATAGCTAAGATGGGCTTTCAAGTAAAGACTCTTTCTCTGGATTGGGGCTTTTGGCATATAGTTTGAAATTGTGACTGCTTTGGTATAATTTTGAGAAAAACGGGTCCATACCAGTACCTGACTGGACCAAACTTACATATACCCTGAATCAAATCTTGTCCCTAAATGTGTGAGCCAAATAACTGTCAGATGTGACCCTGGCACCTATCTGGACCTGCATGCAAGAATCATGTGACCGATAAAAATAACCCACTCTCAGATTGCTGTGGCAGCATTTAAGAAAAAGTTAGGAGAAGAAAGTTGGACTCTGGGTCTGAGAGAATTGTAAAAACATAGGATAGTTAAATGAACTCTTTCTTCGAGGACCTTTGCCTATGAGGAATCTTTCTGTCAGCACTGTTACTTTAAATCACTGAAAACCTTCTTTTTTACTAAAGGGGGCCTCTTCCTAAGAAAACTAAGTCCCAATTTTTAAACTGGTAATTATAGGAATATTTCTTTGCTTTTTACTATAGAATTATTGATAGGATCACTTTAAGTAGAATTCTGCCAAGTAGATCCCCTGAGTATTAGTATAAAACCTGAAAGAAAGGCTAAGGGACAAATAAACTTTTTAGTTTCTATAAGTAGAAGATTAATTAGAAGTAAGAATAAATACCACTGAAATTTTGGTGTACACATGGCAGCATTATTTGATTTACATTAGACTTTACAAGAATATGTCTATTTCACACAGAGAGGTGCTTTTATATTTTCTGGAGATTGTTTCATTTTCTAAACTTTGGTTTCTTTAAGAAAAATTAAGGTGCTGGCAAGTTTGCTCAGTTGGTTAGTGCAGCCTTGTAGCACCAAGGTCAATGGTTTGGTTCCCAATACTGGCCAGCTGCAAAAAAAAAAGAAAGAAAAAACAAATTAGTTGGACAGTTGTTGCTAAAAAGAATGCTCTCTCGACTTTGCAGAAGAAAATTGAATGATGGCCTCTATAAATTTTTCCTCGCTCCCCACCCCCTAAGGCCCTCACACGAATTGACAGCTCTTCTCCTAGGCCCTGTCAGAGGAGGCCTGTGGCAGGAACATAGGTGACATGTCTCCGAAGGTGATCCAAGTGTGTTCGAGCTTCCTGAGATCAGAATACAAACTGGCTCTCTAGCTTGTTCCACTTGTCCAGGCAGTTTCACTGATTAATTTGTAAAACAAGCTAGCTAGTTTTAGCTGGCTGTAGAGGGCAATTATTTATAAAAATGTAGAGAAGTGATTTGATAAGAAAAGGTAGACATTTCCATTCAAGTAGATGAAAGCCACATGGGTGGATGAATATAAAGAATGGATATAAAATAGTAGAGAAAGCAGGCATGTCAGCAAGAGAAAGGAATAGAATTTCTTGACATACAGCTAGCAAAAATTAATTTCAAAATATGTCATCCTAGAGTCCAGGCCTTTATATTAGCTTCTATTGTTTCTATCATTAAATATCTCTTACGAACTTTTAGAGTATTTATTTAAAATTTTTGTTCATTCTGTACAAGCTTACTGAGTACCTACTGTGTTTGAAAATATTTTTGCCTTAATTTTTAATTTATTACAGAAATAACCTGGTGGTAGTAGTAGAAAACAAGTTATATCATTACCCAGGCACTTCCAGGAGATTCCTCTTTCTCTCACCTCTCACCCCATCTACTCCCAGCAAAAACAGATAAATTATAAAAAGCAAAAGCCAAAAAAACATACCCTGGCATAAAAGCAAGGTGGATACCACCATGGATTAGAAACATAGTTGAACTGCCGACTAGCAAGGGAAAGCTGCAGCCTCAGGTGGCTGGTGGTTGGACCTCTTGGAGTGCGGGGAGTCCAAGTGCCACTCCTAAAACTGGAATGGGGGTTAACAAAAGGAAACCAGGAACAAGATGTGGGCCTAGGTAGGGAGAAGACACAGATGCAGTGTCCGGCAAAGGATAGAGCCAAGCCACCCTCTGACTCCATGGCTCTGTCTGCAGTATCCCCCACATCACCTTGGAACTCTTACACTTCGAGACTTGACTTGGGAGAGCCTGGTGAAAGCAGCCGTGACTGGAACATGAATTCACTTCACATGATATGAATTTTATAGGATGGCCTGATGAAGAACTTAAATAGATGTTTAAAAAGTAAATGAAGGAATAACTTCTATTTAAAAAGAACAAAAAATCATGGAAATAAAAGCATACATAATGGCAATAGGCAGATATGAAAAGAACAGGTAGAAATGAAAAATACTAGCCTGAATACAGTTGAAAAGAAAATTAGTAAACTGTAATAGACTGAAAAATTTATAATGCATCAGAAAGACACAAATCAAAAAACATACGAAAGAGCCAGTGGGAGATAGTATAAATTAAGGTCTAACTACTGAAGTTGCCCCCCCCCCCCCTCATCTCTATCCATCACATCGCTGTGTGCATTTCTGTCATAATACCCATCCCTGGCACAATTGCCATGTTTATGTGTTTGTTGACTTAGGCTTTCCTGGGGTCCTGCAGGCTGCTGAGCTCTTTTCTGGCATACTGTATACAGATAGCCAGGAACCAGTCAGACAGGGGCCTTGCGTTTGCTTGTGGAGCTTGCATTCCAGCGTATCCATTGCTATACCTCTGGCGCCCACACCATTTTCTGGCTCAAATTAGGCATTCAGTATATATTTGGTGAATGAGTGAATAAGTGAACGAAGTAATCAGTACCTCAAAATAGTTTTGGTATGGCTTCATGGCATCGATTATCTTGCTATGTTTGGCCAGCTCTGCATTAGGGAGAAAGATCAGGAGAGATGAGAGGAATTCTTTCTCCCCAGAGTGTCCCCTGCTGTTAGCAGTCTGTGACACGTGGGAAACATGGGTATAACCTCCACAGACCTGGAGTCGGCCATAACTGTATCCTCTTGTTTTTTATTTCTGTTTTAAAAATTGCTCAAGACGACTCAGAAATATAACAATGTCAATATGTTAATTTTTCTTTTTCACTTTCAGGCTGGCGTAAAAGGGACATTGGGAAGATTAGTTGGAATTTTTGAGGTAAGTCTGTCAAAATCTTTTGTACAAATGATATCGTAGTAATAACCACGGATATCTTAATCTAGGAAAGATGCCATCTCTGTTTAACTGAGTTTTCAAAACAAAGCAGCACCAGCAGAGAATAGCATGCTTTGTTTTTAAATCCCATAGTCTCCTCCTCAAAATTATTTGTATTTCCTAAGTATTATTTGTAAGTATTATTTATCCCATTCCTACCTTTTTTCCTCTCCTCCCAAGGTGGGAGGAAGGGTAGATAAGTGTAGAGAAGACAGGAAAAATAGAAGATTAGTAGCTATAGCAAAGGAGGGAAAAACAAGGAAATAGGCTGTGGTAGAGATATGAAAGAAGATGGAAGGAAGTGAGAAATCAGGGGGAATAAAGATGAGCAGGGATAGTAGGAAAAGGGGCGGTATGCAAGAAACTCACCTTGGTTGCCTTAATGGGGCCACCGAAGCGTGAGACCTCAGTGGTCCCCTCCCTGAATGGACAGTCTCTTCTCTTTCTGGGGTTCTGTGATTGACAGGGTGCCTTTTTCTTGAGAGGTCACAGCATTTGTGTGAAGTTGCATTTAGGGGTAGGGAAGGAAAAATGAGAGTAAAGCCTTGGCTTTAGAAGCCTGGCTAAAGAGCTTGCCCTCAAATTCAGGTGTGGCTTGTTTTAAATCATGTGGCTATGATTGTAGGATGAGAAAAAGTAAGAGAAATCTTTTGTGCCTAAGCTCTCTGGACATATGTGTAAGAGTGTGTTTCATTTAAGTAACCTGCGGTCTCTAAGGAAAAATCTTCCTCCGTCCTTCTCTCTTTGCCCTTCAGAACCAGGAGAGGAAGCACAGGACGTATGTCTATGTGCTCATTGTCACGGAAGTGCTGGAAGACTGGGAAGACTCAGTTAACATTGGTAAGTTGTCACCAGACAGCCTGCAAAGAGCTCCCCATAGTCAGCTCTTGCCACAGCACAGGTCATTACCCAGAACTAGAAACAAGAGCCTGATAAAGAAAGAAATAATAGAAGGGTATGTTTAATAAAACAAGCATGTACATTTTGAACTTGAGAAAGTAATTTGAAATGTTTAAAAGGAAGCTGAAGTTGGGTACCTGGTCAACAAATAGAAATGTGGCTCATAAAAATGAGAAATGTTGATTCTAAAATGAAATTGGATTCTCCCCCAAAGGGTTATACTTCTCTACCTCCTGAGTAAATACTGATCGAGGGCCTCCACAGTGCCAGGCCCACTGTTGGCCATGGGAATGAAAGGTGACGGCAGGACCTTGGTCTTGTTCCTCGTGACACTCATTCATATTGTTGGATAAAACTGTTAGTATGGTGGTGTGAGCCACTCCCCAAAGTGTCATTCCGTAGATGCAGAGTAATGAGAGTAATTTCCAGTTTTATTCATGTTACCCATCAGGTTGCACCCAGCTTTCTCCCAAAGGAGCTATTTTCTTTGTTCTCTCAGATTACTATTGCATGTACATCTTTTGAACTAAAAACTGAGGTGGTTTAATGTTTGGCTCATGATTTAATCGTTTACCTTTGAAAGAAAGTATATCCTAGAAAAGTATAATATTAATTTAATTTCTGTTAACTTGCCAAAATACCTCCCTTTATTGTTAGTGTGTGCCTCTACCATGCTCCCCTCACAACCCCTCAGCCCTTAATGGCTTTGTGTCTGGTAATAATGCAGTATGCTTAAGTAAATAAATTTAGCACGGGTATATTGAAAACAGACTCCTTGACAGCCAGTGCTGGGGCCTGACGAGGAGACAGAGTTGATTGTGATGTGGCCCTATCCTCAGAGCACTCTGTTGGGTAGGAGTCAAACACTTGTGATATTAATTCTTAAGGTATCATTACTCTTTGAATATCCAAACAAGTCTTTGGCCTTGTACTCCCACTTCTGAGAATTGACCCAATGGAGTAATCCAAATAAAACATGGGGCATAAGCCTATGAGCCTTCCTTCACATGATCCTCCCAGTGAAAAATCGGGTCTTAAATGTACAGCTCAGTGAATGGCAAGTGAATGAAGGTACATTCATCTGTTGGAATGTTATAGCTATGAAACCCCATGTTATGAAAGCTGTATACCATGAGAAAGTGCTTATGAAATAGTGTTGGTGAATGAAAACAGCAGGGTATAGAGTTTTACACACACACACACACACTAATTACAGCTACATTAAAATAGGAAGTTGAAATGAAAATAAACATGAGGTACTGGTTTTCACCTAAAGAATTGGAAATGATAAAGAAAAGATAGTGCTGGTGGGGGTATGGTGAGACTGACATTCTGACACACACAAGCAGGACTGGGGATCAGGGTAGCCTTTCTGGAAAGCAGTTGGCAGTATATATCACATGCCCTTGAAATTTCAAATGCTTATGGTAAGTATCTTTCCCTGGGAGATTAGAAAAAAGAAAAAACGGGGATGAAGATTTGAAAAAGTAAAAATCTTAGCATTATTTATAACAACTAAAATTGCAGACTATTGATGTTATTAAATGATAGAGAAGTGGTTAAATGGACAATAGTACATCCATGCATATTTTTTATAATGCTCACAATTGCTTAAGAAACAGTATGAAGTAAAAAAAGAATCAATAACAATAAAAAAGCAAACTGTTAACAAGATGTACTGTGTGCCAAGTACTGTTTGGGTGCTTTGCATATTAATCCTCACAAAAGAATTGCCTGATAGGTCCTATTTTTTTTTTTTTAATCTCTATTTTATAGAGGAGGAAAATAGGGCACAGAGAGGTTCAGTAACTTCCCCAAGTCTACGCAACTCTTTGGAACCAGTGACATGTTTAGAACCCAGCACATTGGCTTCAGAGTCCTTGTTCCTAATCACAAGACTCTAGCAGAGCCTGTCAGGATTTGAAGCACCTGAAAGCATGATCACAGTTATAGTTGTTCAAATACAGTTTATTTTTCAAGTATGCATGAAAGAAAAGCACTAAGGTATTGAGGGCAGTTGTTTCTGGTATATAAGATTATGGGTACTTACTGTATTCTTTCTACTTTCCTCTCTCCAATTTTAAGCAATGACATTTTACTATTATAAGAGAAAAAAAAGAGGATTTTAAAACATTCATTTGAAATAAGTTAATAGAAAAGTTAATAGAGATTGTATTGAGATTTTTTTTTCCTTTTTCTTCTATTTTCTGTAATGTAGATATATCACTCTGATAAAAAAATTTTTAAATAACTGGTTACAAGCCAGCCATCCTAGTAATTCTGGAAGGTGATGTTCATGTTGACTTTTTCAAGAGATGGGGTTGCTTGTGGGCTTTGGTCCCTTACATGCAAGCTGAGGAAAGCCCAGAGGCCAAGGAGCGCAAGAGAAAACTACTAGCAGTGGTTCTTTCTCTTATCTCTTCAGTTTTCAGATTTCTTACCTGTTTCCTATCTATACCTATTTCCTATTAGGCATTCGTACAATACTTGAAGCATACAAAGTGTGTTTGCACTACTTTTGTGAGAAAAGAAAATAAGGGAAAAAATTACAAAATCCCTATTTTAAAAGTGTCAGGAAGCATTACTTTAATGTTTTCTTCTACATTTTCTCAAAAGTTCTTGACTCAGAAACCTCCTCACTGCTTCCCTCTTGTACTGATTTCATTTTCCCTCTGCCTCCACAGGAAGGAAGAGGGAATGGTTTAAAATAGAAGATGCCATAAAAGTGCTGCAGTATCACAAACCCGTGCAGGCATCATATTTTGAAACGTTGAGGCAAGGCTACTCAGCCAACAATGGCACCCCGGTCGTGGCCACCACATACTCAGTTTCTGCTCAGAGCTCAATGTCAGGCATCAGATGACTGAAGACGGCCTGTCAGGATTTGAAGCACCTGAAAGCATGATCACAGTTATAGTTGTTCAAATACAGTTTATTTTTCAAGTATGCATGAAAGAAAAGCACTAAGGTATTGAGGGCAGTTGTTTCTGGTATATAAGATTATGGGTACTTACTGTATTCTAGCCTGTCAGGATTTGAAGCACCTGAAAGCATGATCACAGTTATAGTTGTTCAAATACAGTTTATTTTTCAAGTATGCATGAAAGAAAAGCAAATGCACTAAGGTATTGAGGGCAGTTGTTTCTGGTATATAAGATTATGGGTACTTACTGTATTCTTTCTACTTTCCTCTCTCCAATTTTAAGCAATGACATTTTACTATTATAAGAGAAAAAAAAGAGGATTTTAAAACATTCATTTGAAATAAGTTAATAGAAAAGTTAATAGAGATTGTATTGAGATTTTTTTTTCCTTTTTCTTCTATTTTCTGTAATGTAGATATATCACTCTGATAAAAAAATTTTTAAATAACTGGTTACAAGCCAGCCATCCTAGTAATTCTGGAAGGTGATGTTCATGTTGACTTTTTCAAGAGATGGGGTTGCTTGTGGGCTTTGGTCCCTTACATGCAAGCTGAGGAAAGCCCAGAGGCCAAGGAGCGCAAGAGAAAACTACTAGCAGTGGTTCTTTCTCTTATCTCTTCAGTTTTCAGATTTCTTACCTGTTTTTCAAGAGATGGGGTTGCTTGTGGGCTTTGGTCCCTTACATGCAAGCTGAGGAAAGCCCAGAGGCCAAGGAGCGCGAGAGAAAACTACTAGCAGTGGTTCTTTCTCTTATCTCTTCAGTTTTCAGATTTCTTACCTGTTTCCTATCTATACCTATTTCCTATTAGGCATTCGTACAATACTTGAAGCATACAAAGTGTGTTTGCACTACTTTTGTGAGAAAAGAAAATAAGGGAAAAAATTACAAAATCCCTATTTTAAAAGTGTCAGGAAGCATTACTTTAATGTTTTCTTCTACATTTTCTCAAAAGTTCTTGACTCAGAAACCTCCTCACTGCTTCCCTCTTGTACTGATTTCATTTTCCCTCTGCCTCCACAGGAAGGAAGAGGGAATGGTTTAAAATAGAAGATGCCATAAAAGTGCTGCAGTATCACAAACCCGTGCAGGCATCATATTTTGAAACGTTGAGGCAAGGCTACTCAGCCAACAATGGCACCCCGGTCGTGGCCACCACATACTCAGTTTCTGCTCAGAGCTCAATGTCAGGCATCAGATGACTGAAGACTTCCTGTAAGAGAAATGGAAATTGGAAACTAGACTGAAATGCAGATCTTCCCTCTCACCCTGGCTCTCTTCACCTCTCCTCACAGGCCTCCTCTTTCAAATAAGGCATGATGGGCAGCAGAGAAAGGGTGTATTGACAATGTTACTGTTTGGTGTTAAGTGATGGGGCTTTTTCTTCTCTTTTTATTGAGGGGGTGGGCTTGGGTATGTAATTTGTAAGTACTTTTGTGCATGATCTGTCCCTCCCTTTTCATACCTCTCCAGTCCTCTGAAGCAAGGCAAACAACCTATATCCCCTGCCTTGGATTCTGAAGTGTTCCTGTTTGTCTCATTCCAGCCCTGGCCAGACATTTTTCTTTGATTTTTAACTTTTTTTTTTTTATTAAGAGATACCAATGTGAGATGAAACCTTCCAAAAATTTGCCCTATACTGTGCTGTTCAGTCCAGTAGGTTGGTCATTTTCACTACAGGATGCATTTATCTACACATTATATACTGGACATATAATATGTAAATAAATGACTTTTAGAAGGAGAAATTTAACTTTAATTTTTTAGGTTTTTTTTTTTTAATTCTGGTGTTTGTGGAATAGAGAGCCTCACAATTAATTTACTTTTTTGTTTTTTTGTTTTTGATGCTAGTGGCTAGGCAAGTTTACCTGCCCTCTCTCTATTTCCCAGACATTTGACTGTAGTTATGTAGGGTGCAGGAAGAGTGCTACCTTCAAAGTGCTCCCTGGACTCATGGGTGCCTCTTCTCCAAGCTGTGTTTCCATGCCAAGAAATAAACAGGAATAAACCCATTTTCTTTCTTATTACCAGGCCGGGAGCAAATGGCCTCAGCCCAGATCCAGAGAAATGATAGAAATTGGATTCTGCCCTACATGTTGACAATAGGGTTGAACTGGATTCTTGGGATTATTATCTAAAAAACTGGAACATCAAGCACCGTTTCTATCCTTCTGGTTTGGAATTTTTTCCATAATACTTATTGCTGACAACGGCTTCTCTTCTTGTCCATATATGCCTTACACCATGCTGAACTGGATATTGTCCTTGTGCTCTGAACCATCCAGCTGTACTTGAAAGTGCAGTTGCATAGTCCTGTCCCAGTACTGGGTAACCATGTTAAGTTTCTGAAAAGTACACAGGGGGGAAATTCAGGTGTTTGCTTGTCTTTACAATGTTGTAGCACTTGTGATTGCACCATGGAACATGCTCAGAAATATTAAATTGGTCTCCCACTAGGACATGAAAGGTCTGTCTTTTGCTAAGAAGTGCTCTAGCCAGGCCATGTAATCATTTACTAGAGCAGCTAGGTAATGTATTGGCTCACTGCAGACTCTTTTGTTGGCTTTTGATACAGGTTTCATGCTGGCTTCTTTTGCCAATTGTGTTGTTTAGTTGGGAAGTAAAAGGGTCTTGAGGTGGGGGTTGGGGGAAGGAGACACCAATTGATCCCTGGCTTGGGACAAGAGATTGTTGCTATACTCTTAGTGGCATCTCCTTTGTCAAAACACAGCCAAGATGTGAAGTAAAATCATAGTTCTCTTTATTTAAAAATTCTAATAAGTACTCAAACTTTGAAAAGCTTTTGCTCTTCCTTCCTACTAAAAGAAATGTGTATGTCTGTTAGCCCTGTGTCATTTAGTGTTCAGTGTTTTGGGGGACATCAGTTGGTGAACTTAAAAATTTTCTATCTAGGGCCGGCCCGGTGGCGCACTGCTACAGTGCGCCGCTTGGGAGCGCTGCAGCGCTCCCGCTGAGGGTTCGGATCCCACATACAGACCGGTTCCCGCTCACTGGCTGAGTGAGGTACGGGCGCGACACTGAGGGTTGCGATCCGTTGCCGGACACGAAAAAAGACAAAAAGGAAAAAAAATTATTTTTTTCTATCTATTCTCAGTCTCTATCCTCTCTCCCAGTCTTGAAACATAGAACCAAAAAGCAGTGCTGGCAATTTTCTTGTGAAACCATCATACCTTTGGGAAAAGAATTATATCCCCAAGTAAGGGT